ACTGAAAGATCGTCTTTCAGTCTCGCCTAATTTCCTGAAGCTCAATGGCAACTTCGTATTACCAGTTGTGGTCTTCGTAGCTTCCATGTCATGATAGCATTCATCTAGAATGTTGTGTATGTTAAGGTCTTGGATGTTCTCCATTTAGACATAATAAAAAAGCAAATGAAAAAATTAAAAATTAAAAAGCAAATGATAGCATGAGGCTGTTGCAGATTGGTTTTGTTGAAGAAAATGGGTTCAATATCTGCAGACATTCAGTCTGCAAATGAGGCTGCTGCTCAAGATAGCAGCTTGGAGAACACTGAGATAGAGCGCAGCAAAGTCGGAATCATGTGAGCCCTTGTTCAAAGAGAGAGAGCACGAGCAAAGGCAGCTTTGTGTTTGTGAATGTTCAATCAAACCCTACACACACATATATTATATATATAAACAGGGGCAAAATAGTAATTTTATGTCGGGGGCAAACGGGGCGGGGATCGGGGCCGAGGCAAAAACATGTATCCCCGTCCCCGGCCCGAATATCATCGGGGATTCAATTTTTAATACCATCTCCAGCTCGTCGGGGGTATTTTTCATGGAATAACCGCTCAATTCGGGGTCGGGGGATCGGGTTCTGGTCGGGTTGGGTTCCGATTGCCATCTCTAGATTTGAGAGAAGGAAAAAAAAAATGATTTTCTTTTTCAAAATTAGATATGTGGTTGAAGAAGGAGAAGAGGTAGTAGTAGAAGAAGAATGATGGCATACCTTTCGAAGAAGATGAAGTGAAACGAGACCGAGAGAGAAGTCGAAGCAACCATAGTTTTCGAATCAACCAGTCTTTGAAGAGAGAGAAGACGACGAAGTTGCCACACTATATTTGGGGTGATTATTTCGTACTCCCAGAGTATAGACACGTGGTGCTCTATAAGGTTTTGATTGGTGGAGAAGGGTAGGAGCCCACAATTTATGTTGGGGATGGGAGAACAACATGAGGTTAAGTAATTGGTGATTGGCTTGGAGTATGGTTATGTGGTGTTCCGGAAGTATTGTATAATTTCCCCTATATTTGATGTGTTTATCTTTCTTTTTTTCTTTTTTTATATTTTATTTTGACCTAGTTTGTGGTCATGGACTTCATTTAAAAAGTTCATTGGGCCTATTGTTGGTCTTAGCTTGCAGATTCAAAGAACATTGGATACCATTGTATTGCAATCGAAGTCCATTAAAAAGAACAACAATGATTCATCCCACTAAAAACATCACCACTAATAGCATTAATGCATTAAAAAAGTAAAAAAAAAAAATACAACTCCAAGACCAAAACATCACATCATTAATGCGGGACTCACTGCCACCTAATTAATGGGAGCACTAATTAGTGCTCCCAAGCATTTTTCTAAAAAGAAAAGAACACGCATATTATATAAAAAATATAAATCAATAAAATAATGAACTTTGATATATTTGAATAAAGTCAAAAAAATATATATTGTATTTTTTTTTATGTTACATTATAATTATATTATATATAAAAGGTTTCCGGCCACTCCTAACTTAAGAAACTTTTATCTACACATGCTCCTCCATTCCTGCTTCCTGCAACCAAGGTATGACCCCCATCCATCATCACGAAGCCCTTCACCACGTAACCCCCTTCCACCTTTGTGATGCCCTTGACAAACGAGGGTGAGGGTGGCTAAGTAGCGTAGTGAGAATGTGTGTGTGGAAAGAGAGAGAGAGGGAGAGGAAGGGGGGTTGCGATGGACGGGTGGCGGGGAAGGGCGGGTGAGGGTAAGGAGGGTTTGGGAAGGGTCACTAGAGCTGGGATGGGCAAGGAGAGCACTGACTGGAGCTGGTCGCTCCCAACTTTGTCTTTAGTGAACATTTTTATTAATTTTTTTACTGTTTACGTCTTTCTAGTCTTAAAAAAAAATTAAACAAAAAAATGTAAAAAACATATACTTTTTGCCAATGCCATACACATCAACTTTTTTTTTTTTTTTTTTTTTTTTAAACTTCATCTTAGAAAAGCAAAAAAGCTACTGAAAAAACATTTTCCAAACTAGTCCTTGATCTACATATTGAGTTTTAAATTAGTTGACTTTTATGGCAGGGAAGGACAAGTCTGTTGTCTTGTGGAGTATTCATGATCGTGTATTGACATTGACATCAGATCCATCCACCAAGCCTACAGGATCTGACGGATCAATCATTAAAACTACTGATAACATTTCTATTGGGCCACATGGAATCTTCCAGGGGCATGAGGACACAGTTGAAGATGTGCAGTTCTGTCCATCGAGGTAAGTTTATGGTCTTAGTCAGATTGCTGCAGTCATCTAGTTGCGCTCACTCTCTCTCGCTCTCTCTCTATTCTTCAGTTATGGGCTATAACAGTATCATGTCTTGTGAGGAGAATGCTAATCAGTACATTAGACTTGATTTCTGTTTCTAAGATCTTATCATTGACATTTTTCATCTTGACATCACATTTAGTAGCAACGGCACTCATTGATAAATATTCCTGGCCCTGGGAAAAAAAAGGAGAAATTAATCTCAATTCACCCAAAATTTTCTTCTGTATCGTTGTAGCATGTGATCTAGTTTCTTAGGTTTTTGATGGGGACTCTCTTTCTGACGTTTGTCCAACTTTGATGAATTGCACAGGAGTTTTGTAGCATAGGAGATGATTCTTGTCTAATATTATGGGATGCATGAGTTGGCACTAGCCCAGTTTTTAAGGTCAGGAGCTTCCCACTTTTTGTTGCTTGGTAATTTACTGTTTCTTTTGTATAACGTAACTCACTGTATTCATGAAAAGTGGAAAACACATAATCCACAGAGTTTAAACTAGCTAGATATGGCTGTCTGTATAGATGGGTGGATTGTGTCCTTGGCACAAAGCATTGATCCATCTATTGAATACTGCTCGATGATTACACTCTGCTATTGCTGGCAAATATATGTTGAACAAGGGATAATTTTTCTTGATGAAATTTAATGTCTCAACATACGTAAATAAGTGGGAGTACCACATATATTTAGGTAATTATGTTCTGCGTTCAGTCTATCATGCTGTTACTTCCATTTCCTCAATGTTTGAGAAACAATTGTGGATTGCTTTCCTCAAATTGTCTGTATCAATCTCATGGAGTTGTGCTTGTAATATTTCCCGTAATTGGGAGAGGAGCAGGGTTACTCAGTCTCTTTATACTTAGTCTTATATTTAGGAGTTACAAAATGATTTTGGTCGGGAATTTGAGTTATTTGGTTCCTGCATTAATGTGCTAATTATAACAGAACAAGTCTGACAACTCTTCTTTTCCTGTAAAAATTCATTGTATATTAGTGTCTTTTGTTACTTAATTTTATTTTTTCTTATTTGCTTTTCCCGTTCGAGAATCGAGAGTAATTGGCTGGGAGGCAGTATTGTGGATTAAAATTTCTCCTGAATAACCACTACTCTTTTCATATCAGACTGCCTTCATTAGCTATGCAGTGTTCACTTTCCCCGTTGCTATGATTTTTTGAACAATGTTCACCTCTATTAACTCTCTCTCTCTCTGAGATAATCTCACTTTATGTGCGTAATGTTTAGTAAACTATTATTTGTTTGTGGTGAATAGGTTGAAAAAGCACACGGATGCTGATCTTCACTGTGTTGATTGGAATCCCCATGATGAAAACCTTATAATAACTGGGTATGTTCTTATTCCTCTTACTTTTTTGTACTCAGTGTTAATCTTTTATCTTGGAGTCGTATAACTCATGACTTAAGTTGTGGCGTGACATTTTTTCCTGATCATTGTCTTTTTCAAGACCTTATCACCAGGAAGAGGATTGGCAGTGGTAGAGAGGAATATGGGCTTTACATTCTAGATCAGACAGGCAAGCTAGCTCATTCATCTATTCAGTTACCATTCACTGAGGAAGACATTTGGCTGTGGCACTGTCGCTTAGGACACCCCTCTTTTTTATTACTTATGCATTTATTTTTGTTAAGTGTTAGGGGTAGTTTGGTCTTTATGTATTATTCTTATTAGTATAAGTAGTTGTGTGTAAGGGGAAAACCCTAAGTTTTGAATCAATAATCTACAGAAGCTTTCTCTTGTTCTATTCCTCCTCCTTCTTCTTCTTCTTCTTCTTCTTCTTCTTCTTCTTCTTCTTCTCATCTATACATTTAACAGTACCACATATATTTAGGTAATTATGTTCTGCGTTCAGTCTATCATGCTGTTACTTCCATTTCCTCAGTGTTTGAGAAACAATTGTGGATTGCTTTCCTCAAATTGTCTGTATTAATCTCATGGAGTTGTGCTTGTAATATTTCCCGTAATTGGGAGTGGAGCAGGGTTACTCAGTCTCTTTATACTCAGTCTTATATTTAGGAGTTATAAAATGATTTTGGTCGGGAATTTAAGTTATTTGGTTCCTGCATTAATGTGCTAATTATAACAGAACAAGTCTGACAACTCTTCTTTTCCTGTAAAAATTCATTGTATATTAGTGTCTTTTGTTACTTAATTTTATTTTTTCTTATTTGCTTTTCCCGTTCGAGAATCGAGAGTAATTGGCTGGGAGGCAGTATTGTGGATGAAAATTTCTCCTGAATAACCACTACTCTTTTCATATCAGACTGCCTTCATTAGCTATGCAGTGTTCACTTTCCCTGTTGCTATGATTTTTTGAACAATGTTCACCTCTCTCTCTCTCTCTCTCTCTCTCTCTCTGAGATAATCTCACTTTATGTGCGTAATGTTTAGTAAACTATTATTTGTTTGTGGTGAATAGGTTGAAAAAGCACATGATGCTGATCTTCACTGTGTTGATTGGAATCCCCATGATGAAAACCTTATAATAACTGGGTATGTTCTTATTCCTCTTACTTTTTTGTACATTTACCTGGACCATGGAATTTAAAGCCGGGGTATGTGATATATCTTGATTTAGTACTTATTTTCTGCATGAAATTGGATTTGTGATAGTTTTTAGGTGCTTTTGTTTTTCTACAATGTCATTTCAGGTCTGCAGGAAATTCTGTTTGCATGTTTGATCGCCAGAATCTGACTTCTGATGGAGCAGGGTTGCCCGTTTATAAGTTCAAAAGTCATAAAGCTGCTGTTCTGTGTGTGCAGGTCTTAAACAAGTTTCTTCTATTGTTCATTTCATTTTTCATTTTTGTTTCTTTTCACTGCACAGTACATGTATAGCAAACTGTGCTACTATATAAACATTGTTTATTTTTTACACGAACTTTCAATTCATTTTACAGTGGTCACCGGACAGGTCATCTGTCTTTGGAAGTTCTGTGGAGGATGGTTTCTTGAATATTTGGGATTACGAAAAGGTGTTGGATATACTTCTACCCTCACTATTACCCCCTTCTCTCTCAGTCTATAGCGTAAGTGCATGTGTTAATGACAATGAGTAAATTCACTGCTCATCTCACAGACCAGAATGCCTGTAAATCAGCTCCAAGAAAGTTAACATGCATTGATTAGACTATTTTCCAACTGATTTTTTTGAAACCCTACATGTCATTGTTATTTTTAATGTCTTGTGCGGACTGTTATTTGTTAGCGGTGAGGATATATTCTGTAGGTTCATGTGCAAAATATCATTAAGGAATTCTTTTGTCAAACACATCTTCAAAGAATGATACAAGCAGAAAAAGGAAAGATTTTCAGTTATAGTTGCATGCATATATATTCCAATAAATTTTAGTCACATCTACCAATGGACATTTGAAATTAAGAAACCATTGTTTTCTGTCCCCCTCCTATGCTGTGCCTCAGAGCATTTCATCATACTCTCGTACAGAGTTTTAAAAGGCTTTCCTGAGGCTCGCCTCGATGCTCACCTCGCCTTGAGGCTAAGGTAAAACGCATCAAGGTTTTGATTTTTAAGCATTACTCCCCAAAGGCTTGCGCATCATAGTTTGAGACATGCACCTTAGGTGCGCTTTGTACGCTTTTTGCGTATAAACATGTGAGGAGTATGCACATGCAGAGGTTGCCTTGGGCTTTTGTTAAACTTAGTCTATTGGATTGTTTAAATATAAAAAAAATAAAAAGAATCCATTTTTGCAACTATATTTTACAGGAAAAATTAAGTAAATAATCAATCAAGAAAAAACACAGTTAATGATCAAGTGAGAAGCTCAATCACTAAAGTTAAGAATATCAATTTCACTTTCAGTGAAGGAAAACTTCCTTCTATGCAGTAAAATGTTCAACGCATTAAAGCGAAAAGTATTTACACTTTTATATTTAATTTTGTTTTTATTTTTTTACTATTTTAAAATATATAATTTATTCACTAAATATTAAAATTTGAAATTTGAAATGCTTATGCCGCAACGCCCTGAGGCTTACGTCTCGCCTCATGAGGGGTAAAACGCCTCGAGGTACGCATTCGCCTTTAAAAACTTTGGTCTCGTATGAGTGTAACATTAACATGATGTTTGGATATCTAGGAGAGAAGAAAACGAATGATTTGTTAAGTTTGGAGAGAAGAGAAAAGAAAAGAAATTATCTCCCTTTTGTTTGGTTGAGCTGGAGAGAAAATATAGTTGTTTCTCTTCAATTTTGTTTGGATAGATTATATAAAAGAAAAGAAAAGGAACTCTTACAGGTTATATAACCAAAATAACCTTATATTTTTTTATTTCTTTAGTTCCTAGCTGGATAATTTTGGTATTATATAAAATTAGTAATCATCTCGTTCCTTTTTTCTCCCAATCTCTCCAATTTTGGAGAGATTAAAAAAATGGGTTGTAAGAGAAATCAATTTCTCTCCATTTCTTTCTTCTCTTTTTTTTTTGATAAATTTTATTAAGAAAAGCATCAAGATGATGCAAACATAATAGTCTTTGCCAAAAATAGCCAAAACAGGCTATTAGGACCAAGAGAAATTGATTTTTTTTTTTTTTTTAATTCTCTCTCCAAATCACTCAATCCAAATAGGCTGTAAGGCTGATATAGGTGTAATATTTTCATACTAATGTTTACTGTTGAAAAGTCTTCTGTCTTTGGGTTGTATTACATTTATTTCAATAATGGAACAACCTACTTGTAAATAGATTGGGTTACCATTTTGTAACTGTTAATGTTTGTGAAGTTTCTTCCATATTATTTTTCTTGTTGTCTGTGTAAATAAAATAAGTACTGCTGACTACATCCTCTTGCAGGTCGGTAAAAAGAATGAAAATGGAGCGAGAACACCAAATTCTTGTTCAGGATTGTTTTTCCAGCATGCTGGGCACAGGTTTGAAACTGATTACCTCTGCAACTTAATTAACAAAGCCTTCTCCCAAATAATTGGTGTTTTCTCTTTCTGAAATCTTAAGGTTCCACTGTGCGAAGACACTTTATTTTCTAGTTGGTGATGCCATTGTGCCTTTTTCTGATGACTTGGTCATCTGTTTTTCTTTGTTGCGCCTTTTAATTATGCCATTGGTCCATTTTGATTGCATTGAGATCTCCCCGCTGCTTATCTTTCTGTGGATATTCTTTTATTTTTTAATTTTTTTCCAGCAATGTAGACAACATAAAAAGGAAAGATGAACAAAAATTTGTAAGAAAAATGAATGGATGGCTTAATTCCACCCTGAGTTTCTGTTGATTTTGTTGTTTGTGCACGCATGTGCATGCCCTTTTTATTCTATTGGGATAGTTTAATTTGTTATATTCTTGTGTTTTTGGTAGACTGAAAATGTAATAATAATAATAAAGAAGAAGAAGAAGAAGAAGTAGACTGAAACTATTGTTTTATTAGTACAGATGCAGATTGAAAGATGAGTATTGTTTCTGCAATGTCTATGAATGCTAAATATATGTAATGGAAGAACAATTATGTTCAAATTTAATAGGAATAACTCCTTAGGTTTAGATATATCATTCAATCTGTGAGGAGTTTGGCAAGTTTTCTTGAAGTTCTTGAAGAATCCGTTTAATGTGTGTAATGAATCGGCAGAATTGTTTGAACCAGGCTAGAACTCTGTTTTGGAACTACGGTAGGACACATTAGGTCAATGCACATAATGATTGGGAGTTTCCATGGCAGAAAATATGCTGCAACTTTCATTTGGAACACGAGTCAGTAAGGGAATGAGGTCACAGACAATATGTTTTAAAACAATACTTTCAAGTAAAATTTTGAGAGATATACTTATTCAGAAGCAACTAGCAGTGAATGCGATTATTTTTGTGGGTTTTTGTGTGAGGCTCAAATGTGGGCTGGTTATTGCCTCTTGTTTTTATTTTTATTTTTATAAATAAATTAATAATAAATGTCGAATCTCATGTCTTGTCATTATGTTATGCTTGGAGCCCTTTAAGTCATTCTTTGCACGGATCAATTGATTGACCTGATAATTGTGTAGTTTGTTCGAGGTTTTGGTTGCTAGAATGCTTTTGTTTGTGTTATGCATCTTGCTTTTACTCCAAAATGATTAAGTTGTTTGTTTATGCATCCAGGGATAAAGTTGTTGACTTCCACTGGAATGCAGCTGATCCATGGACAGTTAGTGTATCTGATGACTGTGATACCTCAGGCGGAGGTGGAACGCTACAGGTATCAGGGCGTTCCTTGTCATCCCTTTTTCTTGACATCTAGATTTCAACTTGTAGATGTACTAACTGGTATTACATTGTTCTCTGCAGATATGGCACATGAACGATTTGATTTACAGTCCTGAAGAGGACGCTTTGGCTGAGCTCGAGAAGTTTAAATCACATGTGGTTGATTGTGCTTCCAAGTCTGGGCTTTTCCCAAATTAAGGCAAAATAGCAACTTATTCCTCAAATTAGGCCTGGTTTGGACGAAATTTCCAAACTAAGCCAAAACGCGGATACAAACCACGTTTTCACCGTTTTTGTGCCCCTGCCGCGGAAAATTTGTAAAATCTTATAAGCGTGATTATAATTCACGCTTTTAATTAAGAAAATATAGTTACAAACTATATTTTAAGTAAATTTTTTTAAAAAAAAAAACGTGGTTGCAAACCACGCTTTTATTGTTGACCAAAGAAATCGTGGATGATAACCACGCTTGTAACCAAAATGTAAAAACCTGTTTTCAAAATACGTTTGCAATAATACATCAAAACCAACACTCACTCTTCTTTCTCACTCTCTCTCTCTCTCTGACACACACACTCACATATATAATTTTTAATATATGTAAATTTTATTTTATAAAATTGAGACTAATATTAAATATATATAATAATTTATAATAGCAAATAATAATTTTTATAATTTTTGTAAATATAAATCATTTCTATATAATTTTTATCTTTCGAGTGGTTAAAAATAATTTTTTACAAATTAAATTGAAACAACCATACGTATCTATATAACTTGCGTAAAAGTTAAAATGATAATTATTTTTTGTCCTTAAATGATAATTATTTTTTATTTTTTATTTCTTAACCAAATTAATTTTAAATTTTTTAATTTTTTTTAAAAAAAAATCAAATCATACATAGCTTAAAAATCTTTTGATATGTCATTTTTTAAGTTGGTAGCTTATTTAATTATTTGTTAATTTTATGACATTTTTACCATCTGGGGCATGTTTGGTAATCATTTTGTTTTCAGTTTTTAATTTATATTTACAAAAATTTAAAAACTATCATAAAAACTTACTTGATAATTTTTTTAGTTTATAAATGGTTGTCTCAATTTGTAAATTTGAGAAAAAAATGTAAATTCAAAAAATGAATTTAGGTTGGTTTTTAAACAAAAATTTAAAAATTTTACTGACAAATTTTTTTTCAATGAATTTTTTTTTTCAAAGGTGAGGGGAAACTGTAATAAACATAAACTTCAAGGGTGTCAGTGTAATTTATTTAAATAAAAATAAAAAAAATTTAAGAATTAAAGTTATAAATTATTATTATATATATATATATATATATTTAATATTAGTCTCAATTTTATAAAATAAAATTTACATATATTAAAAATTATATATGTGAGTGTGTGTGTCAGAGAGAGAGAGAGAGTGAGAAAGAAGAGTGAGTGTTGGTTTTGATGTATTATTGCAAACGTATTTTGAAAACAGGTTTTTACATTTTGGTTACAAGCGTGGTTATCATCCACGATTTCTTTGGTCAACAATAAAAGCGTGGTTTGCAACCACGTTTTTTTTTTTAAAAAAATTTACTTAAAATATAGTTTGTAACTATATTTTCTTAATTAAAAGCGTGAATTATAATCACGCTTATAAGATTTTACAAATTTTCCGCGGCAGGGGCACAAAAACGGTGAAAACGTGGTTTGTATCCGCGTTTTGGCTTAGTTTGGAAATTTCGTCCAAACCAGGCCTAATTTGAGGAATAAGTTGCTTCTCCTTTTCATAGATTACAGGGGAGAGGAAAAAAACAAAAAAACAAAAACAAAACAAAAAAGGAATAATCTATGGGGTTGTATTCTGTTTGCCAAATTTGGAGCTGTCCATGCGGAAGTCCTGTGTTCTGTCAGCATTAATTCTTCATATAGTCTATAAAGGAAGCTATGCCTTTTAATATCTTTAATTTATTGTCAGGTTCATTTTTGTGAAAGAAATGATAGGGGGTGCTATGTTAGCCCCAAACATACAGTAGAAAACTAATCTCTGGGTACTGTACAGCACCTTTAATTTAGATTAGGATGCTTGCCTTTTTACTTCAAACTTGTTTAGAAAGGTCTTAATGAACATGTATAGCAATTTATCTATCAAATGCTGCATTACACATTCAATTTGCAATTTATTCTTAGTGCAATGGACCTACAAATGAACACTCCATCTTTGAGTCACAATTTAACCACGACTTGGGCTACACTTTTAGTTAGTGCATTGTAGGGGAATTAGTGTCTGGATGCTGTTTCATTTACTATGTGGCCCAGGTTTTATGGGATACCTAACTTGATGGCAGTAGCATTCGGTTTGTTTGAGAGAGAGAGAGAGAGATACTATCTGATGTGTCAACACTACATTGGTTTGTTTGAATAGGAAGCATTGGGTATTGGATATCAAAGTTATTGCTTGATGTAGATCTCACTTTCTAGTCCCTTTGGGGCATGAAGGGTGTTCTGTAATGTACATTTTATTTTTCATTTATGTTCAGCCTTTGTGTGTGTGTGAATTAGTCATGCTAGATAGGACTTAAAAAAATAAAATATGTATTAACAAGTATTTTATTTTGCCCATGGCCTTGTGGTGGTTTAGTGGCATGGAGGTAGCACTTAGGTGCTTGCAAGGGAGAGGTTGAAGATTCAACTCCTCCCATGAGCTAATCTAACAACTAACACGGTTAAAAAATAAATAAAAAAAATAAAAAAACGAGTACTTGGTTTTGTAGACAATGTATGTAACTAGTACTTGAATTGTTTCTCTCACGTGTTAGAACTCTAGCAAATCTCTTTCAAAAACCGAGTCTAGTGACAAGTTGGATAAATTACTACTATAATGTGTTATTCAAAATCAAGTTTGGACAAGTCATTGCTGTTGAGGAGAGAGCTCAGAGCATGTTATTAATGTAAATCCATTTCCAAAAATCAAAAGGCTGCTCCACCTGTCTTTAAAGTTTGCTAGAATGTACATTTTCCCTTCATATGCCAAGTGGTTTTCAAATGACCATAAATTTCTATTGCAGCTATGAAGCAACATCTTCAAGGAAAAGCCGCTGCCTGGCAAAGGAGCTCACAACAGGGGCAGTTGCATCTGTCTTCTTGGTATGTATGTTGGTGGTTTTTTTTTTTTTTTTTGCCTGTTAATAATCTAATATTATGTTTTGAATTTTATTTTATTTATTTAATTTTTTTGTTGCTGATGCTGAATCATGATGTTGGTGCACGGTTTTGGCTCCTTGTTCTTGCTTCTTGCTTCTTGCTTGTGGTGTTTATGTTTGATTTTAGCTCGTTGAACCGGGTAAAATTCAATCAATTGGAAGAGTATTACATGACGGATGATAATTTTTGACATTGTTAGTTAAATGTTCTCTGACTGAGGCTTTTCTTTTTCCTTTTTTTATTTATTTATTATTTTTTTAAAAGAGGGTAACCATTATTAGTGTGCCAGATGAAGACAATGAATTGCTGATGGTGTTTTGGAAAGAAATTTGAAAATCAGGGAAATTTGAAATTTGAAAATCGAGTTAGTCAAGAGAAAATATCTGAGGCAAATTCACAAAAAAGAAAAAAGAAGCAAAATACATTGTCCACAAAATTCATATGCAAGGTTTTTTTGGCTAAAGTCCGATCTTTGTCTTTGATGAAAGTCAATTCATATAGACACTCACAATTCGGTTCTAGGATTTGTCTTTGATGAAAATCAATACGCATCTGTCTGTTGATTTGGTAGATACGGATTAAGCAAGTTGTGCGGGTTAGCGGATGGATGCAATCGATTTGGTAGTTTAAACTTTACAAATTTTGGACATTTTTTTGAATTATAATTCATAACTAGTACACTATCCAATAACTAGTAATTTAAAAAAATATATATTATTTGTCAATAATAGACCATTTCACCCCACACACACATATTTTTAAGGTATTATTTCATTTTTACAAAAATATATATTTTATTATTTCTACTCTATGTTATTACTTGTTAGTATTTTATTATTATTATTTCTACCTCCATGCCACTAAACCACCACAAGGCCATGGGCAAAATAAAATACTTGTTAATACATATTTTATTTTTTTAAGTCCTATCTAGCATGACTAATTCACACACACACAAAGGCTGAACATAAATGAAAAATAAAATGTACATTACAGAACACCCTTCATGCCCCAAAGGGACTAGAAAGTGAGATCCAAATGAAGCAATAACTTTGATAGCCAATACCCAATGCTTCCTAGTCTAACAAACCAATGTAGTGTTGACACATCAGGTAGTAACTCTCTCTCTCTCTCTCTCTCACTCAAACAAACAAACCGAATGCTACTGCCATCAAGTTAGGTATCCCACAAAACCTGGGCCACATAGTAACTGAAACAGTATCCAGACACTAATTCCCCTACAATGCACTAACTAAAAGTGTAGCCCAAGTCCTGGTTAAATTGTGACTCAAAGATGGAGTGTTCATTTGTAGGTCCATTGCACTAAGAATAAATTGCAAATTGAATGTGTAATGCAGCATTTGATAGATAAATTTCTATACATGTTCATTAAGACCTTTCTAAACAAGTTTGAAGTAAAAAGGCAATCATCCTAATCTAAATTAAAGATGCTGTACAGTACCCAGAGGTTAGTTTTCTACTGTATGTTTGGGGCTAACATAGCACCCCCTATCATTTCTTTCACAAAAATGAACCTGACAATAAATTAAAGATATTAAAAGGCATAGCTTCCTTTATAGACTATATGAAGAATTAATGCTGACAGAACACAGGACTTCCGCATGGACAGCTCCAAATTTGGCAAACAGAATACAACCCCATAGATTATTCCTTTTTTGTTTTGTTTTTGTTTTTTTGTTTTTTTCCTCTCCCCTGTAATCTATGAAAAGGAGAATAGCTCTGATGTAGTAGAATGTCCTCAACTTCTACGCGATCCTAATCTTCATATATCCCTCATATAGGCAGGGACATCTATTCAAGCTAAGCTCCAACTAATGATGATTACGGATTAGGGTTCAGGGTTTAAGAGCAGAGTCACAAATTGTCACCTATATAGAGCATCACCGTCCAAATTATGGTTTTTAGTGCTTAAGGGAAAGTTTATGAGATCGAGCAAGTACTAGGAAAAGTTTTATGGTTGCATTTGCAAAAATCCTCACCCTTAATTGCTGGGCTAGGGGGTAAAAAGGAAGGAAAAACAAACAGGGTTTAGATTTAAGTAGAAGGTGAAGCATTTTAGCACAAACAAATCCAATGGACCCACCACAAGAAAGCATAATCAGGTTTCACATCAAATTCTCAAATCTCAAAGGATAAAAGAGAACATATGCTTTTACTACCATGCAAGTAGATTTATGTTCTCTGACTTCCACATCTTTGGAAGCCAAGAGTAGATATTTGGCTACTCAACAATCTCCTATTTGTAATGCTCAATATTTGATTCAGGAAGCTATTCTTATGGAAACTACTAATCACAAAGTAGACCTATCAAACTTAGCAATCCTATTATTCCTCAGGTCTTAAAAACTGACAAATGGGGCTTGGCTCCGAATCTGTCCAGAAATTTGAAAGTAACAA